ATCTTCTTCTCACCAGACGCGAGTCAAAGCCATGCCATCCATGGGTCTGTCTGATTTTGCCAAGCGAGCCTCAAATAATTGAGGTTGAGCATGCACCGCCATGCATGGAGAGGCGCAGGGCCGTCGGTCACGTGAACGGCCGCTTGAGCGCATCTCTGCACGACCATGCAAGCCTTTTTTTGGCGCAGCAATCTTGAATCACAAAAATCAAGATGATGATTGGCGAGTCAGACGCGCGGGTAGATGGGCGGCGCATTGAGCTTGAATGCAGCAGCTGCTGGATTGAGTCGATCGGATTGCTCGTGCTCGGGACCCGTGATAGCTGCTGCTCCGACATGGAGTGACCGAGCAAGGGGTCTGCAAAATCGAGTCGTGTGAGGCGATCCCGACCGATTCTAAGCCTTCTATCAAACCTCTTTCACCTCACCTTTATAGCCAGAGCGGACACCGACACTCCATCACCCTTTCGCGAGTCTGGCACGTCTCAAACACCTTTCAGCCTCGAACGATTTTAAAATCACGAGTGTCATCGCAGCCTGGCAAGTTTCGTAATACCTCAACCACCAGGGCGATCCAGTCGACTCAATTGGAGCTGCTATCTGCTTGCGGAGACCTGCTTGACACCAGGACATTTGGACCCGCACAGCAGCACGACACGCCGCAAGCATGGCCTCACCCTTCCCATCTGCGGCGGATCCGGAGCAAGCGTCCAAGAGGCGCATTGTCCACAAGGATGGCCTCCTCTTCAAAACGCAGAGACCGCCCATTGGCGACGCCTCGAGCGCAGCCGTCTCCTCTAGCGGGAACGTGATGCCAGAGATCTTGCCGCGTGAAGGCGAGCCCAACGTGTTGGTCACCTCGGCCTTGCCGTACGTCAACAATGTGCCTCACTTGGGCAACATTATCGGTAGCACCTTGTCAGCCGACGTGTATGCGCGTTACTCTCGCTCAAGAGGTAGAAACACGCTGTACATCTGCGGCACGGACGAGTACGGCACGGCTACAGAGACGAAAGCTTTGGAAGAGAAGGTCAGTCCTCAAGCATTGTGCGACAAATATCACGCTCTTCATAGACAGGTCTACAACTGGTTCGGCATCGGCTTTGACCACTTTGGCAGGACGACTACGCCGAAGCAGACTACGATCGCGCAGGACATCTTCCTCAAGCTTCATAAGAATGGTTATCTCGAGAAGAGGAGCATGACACAGCTGTACTGTGAAAAAGATCAGAGATTCTTGGCAGATCGATATGTCGAAGGAACGTGTCCAAAGTGTGGCTACGATGTGAGTGGTGGGTAGCAGGACCGAGCTGGAACCATTCGCCTTGCTAACGGCTGTCTCGTCTCGCAACGCTGCGACAGGATGCGCGAGGAGACCAATGCGATGGATGTGGACAATTGCTTGACGCAGTAGAGCTCATCAAGCCGCACTGCAAGCTGTGCTCCTCGGCGCCCATTCAAAAGGAGTCATCCCACCTCTTTCTAAAGATTGACGACCTGCAGCCAGCGACCGAGAAGTGGGCGAGGGAAGCAGCAGAGGTGGGAGCTTGGTCCGCGAATGGCAGGCACATCACCGAGAGCTGGTTCAAGGAAGGTCTGCGGCCTTTCAGCTTGACCAGAGATCTGAAGTGGGGTGTGCCTGTGCCTGTGGAGGGTATGGAAGGAAAGGTGCTCTACGTGTGGTTCGACGCCCCGATCGGCTATCCTAGCATCACGGCGAATTACACGGAGCACTGGGAGCAATGGTGGAAGAATCCAGAGCAGGTCAAGTTGTACCAATTTATGGGCAAGGTGAGTCTGCGCAGCATTCCACAGGCTTTCGTGAAATGCCTTGCTGACTAGGCTGGGCTTCGCACCAAAAGGATAACACTCGGTTCCACACCGTCATCTTTCCTTCTTGTTTATTGGGTACCAAAGAGCCATGGACGATGCTTCATCACGTCAGCACCACAGAGTACCTCAACTACGAAGGCGGCAAATTCAGCAAGTCTCGCAACATTGGAGTGTTTGGGGACAAGGCAGGCGAGATTGGAGTGCCCAACAGCGTATGGCGCTACTACCTGCTGTCAAATCGGCCAGAGGGTGGTGACACGCAATTCAGCTGGCATGAGTTCGTGCTGCGCAACAACTCCGAATTGCTCGCCAACATTGGAAACTTTGTGAACAGAGTGTTGACCTTCTTGAGCAAGAAGTATGATGGCATCCTGCCCGAAGTGCCAGAAGGTCTCGGACTTAGAGCTGGGCCTGAACACCTAGAACAGGCCCCTCCCGCGTCGGCGTCTGAAAGCGCACAAGAGCCTGGTCTGCTGTTCCCGCGCATCGCGCGTGATGTCAACGATCTCCTGGCACAGTACACGCAAGCGATGGATGCGGTCAAATTGAGGCAAGGCTTGCACGTCATGATGGCCCTCTCTTCGCGCGGAAACCAATTCTTGGTCGAGGCTGGTCTGGACAACAGTCTTTACGCCAACAAGAAGGCCGAATGCGATGCGACCATGCTGGTAGCTGTGAACCTCATCTGGGCCCTGAGCAGCTTGATCCATCCATTCATGCCCGACACTGCAGATCAAATCTGCACGCAGCTCAACGCTCCTCCTAGGCTCGTGCCTGTGGAAGACATGACGGGCGGAGAGGTCCTTAGTCCTACAGCTGCAGACTTCTCCGAGGCTCGTGCATCAGGCGACAAATCTGCTGGATCGAAAGCCCCAAGATCCTTCTTCGCATTGGACTTGCTACCGGGACATCAGATTGGAAAGCCGGCGCATCTGTTTAAACGCATAGACGAGAAGAAGGAAGAAGAGTGGCGAGTGCAATTTGGTGGAGCGACAGCCAAGAACGCTGCGGAAAGTCCAAGCGAAGGTGGTCCTCAGATCAGCAAGAAGCAAGCGGCCAAAGCTGCCAAAGCTGCCAAGAAAGCTACCAACCCGACCGCTGAGCGCAAGCTGAAGAATCCTACTAAGGAGTGGGAAGAATTGGATCAGAAGGTAAGGGCGCAGGGCGAGGTGGTTAGAAAGGCCAAGGAGGCAGCGAAGAGTGCCGATGCGTCAAAGACCCAAGTGAATGTGGACGGCGAGATCAGCAACTTGTTGAGGCTGAGGTGAGTCGAGCGTGCGATGTTGATGTCCCGGTCAGTATTTTGCTGACGCTGCTCTGCCACTTGTCCTTGCGTTGCTCACTCACACACACTCTCTCTTTCTCTCTCTCCCCGGGCCCACGCTGCAGGAACGAGCTGAATCTGCTCACGGACAAATTGGCTGCGCTCGAGGTCGCATCGGAAGCTGCGAGCTTGGTAGAGCAGGTGGTCAAGTCTACCTGATCTGCGAGCGGCCACCCTGTATGCTTTATCTGCCTACACTCACTTGACGCAGTCGCATGCATGCAAAGCAGCAGCAGCAGCATCAGCAGCAGCAGCAGTGCCACTTGCTGAATGAGATGTCACTGTTGCGCAAGCAAAAGAGATCTCGTGGCGATTCAAGTTGATCATGAGGGATCTCATCAAAAATTCGTGGGGCAATCTATTACAATAGGTAAGAGGTAAGACATGTGGATAGATGCGCGCCAAACGTCCGGCTGTAGGCAGGGGTACGAGGCCGGGCAAGATGTTGATGTGGACGATGAAATGGCTTTTATAAGCATGAAGATGCTTGTGATGCAAAAGCTTTGTTTGGTGCTTTTCGAGTCGAGATACAGAGCATGGGCGCTAACGCAGCAGATGGGCAGATGATTGGGGAGAACA